TTTTTTTTTTTTTTTTTTACAAAGAGTAGTAGTTAATAGTCTCTTATTGGCTTGTTTAGACAAGCCCTTCAAGAAAAAAAACTATATAAGAACACATTCTTCAGACACTTCATATTTAATGCTATTTGATGATTTGTCAATTGCATTTAATATATTACACTTCAAATAAAATATTTGCAGTGGGTTTGTAACAGTGTTAATTTTGACAGCAAATTTTGATTTAGTTTTAGTCATATTTTTGTCATCTGAATTTATTTTAGTTTTAGTCGACTAAATTTCATAAGATTTTAGTCGACTAAATCTACAGTAAATTTAGTCGGCTAAAATCGAATGGGTTTCCAAATTCACTAGGTTTGATATTAAGGTTTTATTCATAATAGACACTGATTTAACTGTGGTGACACACAACATGCCTTTATGTTAAAATTAAATAAAACCACTTCTCATAAAGAACAAGAACATGGTCTTCTTTTTAATGAAATACCAATGGTTATATAGGCTAATTATGCATTCTTTATAACGACTTGATTACCACATTCTTCATTCTTTCAAGCAGACATATTCATTTCTATAAATAAATTTAGATTAGTCTTTAGGGCTACTAAAGTGATTCAGTCAAGAGCAGTGAGTGATTTTCTGTCTTTCTTTTGTTGCTTGATTAACATCAATGCCACAGACAATAGCAACTAAATTAGGCTGCTGTCCCTTTAAAACCAGATACACGGATGCAATGTACTGATACACGTCCAATATTCTCCCAACTGTTTATGTTCACATAAGACATAACCGAGTGTGTTTACGTGAATATTCTTCAAAACAGACAATTCGACATCATTTTGTATGTATTTCTCTGTTCATGAGACGCGAAAGAGTATTCGTGTGCTGTGTGAGAGGCGCTGCTTCGGTGTGTGCGCTCAGAAAACCGGACCGAACTGAGTTCTCTTTTGCGTCGTCAGATTTATCCATATATCTGCTCTTCTCTTACTCCCAGATATTGACATTTCTGTACGTTTTATGAGACGTGCAGCAAGTGGATGTTAGCTTATGTCCCGCCGGTTCATATGTACACATCTAACCTCGTAATTATGCAGCAGATTCGTTCTTCCCGAATCTCTTCCCAAATCGTCCCTCCCTAACATTTTCGTCTCGTTTTTTTTTATATATATATATATATATATATATTTGTATATAAAATTATATATATACACAAAATTAGCGCGTTAACGCAGGCGATTATTTTTTTTTTAGTTTAACGCGTTCAAAATATTTAACACAATTAACGCAGGGGCGGAGCTAGGGTTGGCCACTCCACACACAACTGCTGTTTCTGTCACATTTATTGTCACTGTTTCTGTGCATTTATTCGGTCGCAGAACGTCTTTACGAGCATATCAAGCGGTCATTTCAGACGCGCACTCCACTTCTCCTCAGCTCCAGGCGCGAGTCAAATGAGCGCGGAAAACGGTACTGTGCTCGCAGCGCGTGATCTTCAATTGCACGCACAAAGGCGCCAGCGCACGCTGTAGCCTTTATCCTTTCATATCAAAGCGCGAAATAAACTACGTGCATGCAATGTCGTGATCAGTTAAGTCATGAAGTTACCAAAAAGGTGATTAAAGCTGCCTTAAAACTGTGCATGCATGTAATATATTTTATATATGAGTCAGATTTAAGAACATGTCTCTGAAATGGTTTTCAAAACTGTCCTGGAGCAGCCCAGCACTGTCTCACTCATCTAACACACCCGATTCAACTCCTCAGCTCATTGATAGAGACTTTAAGACCTGAAGTGGGTCAGAAAAGGTAAAAA